GGGCAACTGGTGAGTCCCCTCTGGTATTTCTTTGTTCCAGTATTATTCATATATTCAATAAAAGTTCCTCGTGAAGTTTTAGGTCATTTGGAGCTCTGTAGAATAGGTATCTCAGCTGTAACTTTTTAGGTCCAGAATTCCAGCTGTCGTTAATCTCTCTCTTCGAGTAAATCTTGCAAATTAAGAGAGAAAAGGCATCAGGATTGCATCATAAAGTGGAATAATGACGAAAAACATTGTAAATACCAGTAGGAAAACATGATGCAAAATGGAAGTATCAACGGGGAGTGGAATTATGATGCCTCATTTTTGGCTAATAGATAGGTAAGGTTTTAGTCCTCGCAGGGGCGGCGCTTGGGCGGATGGGGATCTTTCTTTTTTGATTCAGTATTTTGGCCTTCGATACTCAAGTTTGTCTATCATGACGGATTAGACGAGCTCCAAAATAGATTCCTACAACCCCTGGGGGCGGTGAGGTTAGGGTTTCTCATCGTACTTATGCGACGATGAGATTTCGCGTCAACTTTTTTGGATCGATTCAAGGGTTCAACGACGATGACTCTAGCTCCGAGGTGCTGGTCCTAGGAGCACGTGCACAAAGACTTCCCGACTTTCATCGACAGGTCAAGCCTGCTCGAGGACGAGAAAGGCACATCTTCTGGTGGCGTAGTAGTCGTTTGGTGGTTCATGGACCTTGATGTAATTTCTATTATGTTTAAGGTGCTTTCTGGATGAATCTTTACTATAGATCTGGTCGTGTTCACAAAACAAAAGGAAGGTTGGTTTTTGTTTGTTCGTCTCCACCCCTCCCCTACGCCTCCACCTTCCACATCGCTTTTCCCATACACCTCCACCTACCACGTTGATTTTCCCCTTCGATTTGGGTTTTCCCTCTCGATCGTTCACCTCCACACCGTTTCCGTTTCTCCCTCTTAATCATTTGAGTACACGTCAACGAATCAAATCGAACTTACCAATTCTCAAAAGACAACTGAAACTTACCAATTCTCAAAAGACAATCGAAACTTACCAATTCCCATCATACCTGGGTACATGGCTGGAAATTGCTGGACATGTGGTCCCAGCACGAGTCCACCGCCGCATCAAACAAACCCAATCCAACAAATATTTTCTTTCCTTCTACCAGATTACCTCATCCCCAAATTGAATTCTTCCCTAAAAAATACGGGTCGTGCTACGCATCGGCTGGCGGATTTTTTTAAAAGATCGGCCAGGTCGCGGGGCACTAGATATGGCGTCATCGTGCGCCTGAGCTTCAACTTCACTTGCAACAGATCTATTGTTGCAGAAACCTATCTTCACCTTGACAACAGAGTGATGTTGCAGAAAACTTCTCAAAATAGGTGATGTTGCAAAAACGCAGTTGCTATTGCCGGTGCAATAGCAATATCAATAGGATCCTTGTTGCATAAAAGCAGCAATACCCTCGTCACATTTGCCCCGTGGGCAACGCCGGAGTTGGAGGTGAGGTCGGCGATAGGAGGGGTCGCCGCGACGGATAGGCGACCGGTGATGGTAGTCTATAGATCTCAATGTATTTTTCATTATGTTTGAGGTGATTTGTATTTTTGAACTTTTATAATACATCAAGATCTTTGTTGAAAAAGAAAATGGGTGTGACTAGATCTCAGTTGAAACAAATCCCAGTCAAGTGATAGAACATGTAAAATATAACATTTTTTTCACGCATGTCTACATAAGATCACACAAATATAATATCGATTAAGACTTGATTAAGTCTACGTCGACCGAAATTTAGCAACGCGGAAAGATTTTTTCTTTTTTTTTTTGCTTTTTCACGTAGCAAGATTAAATGTGGAGAACAGACAAAGTAGTGCCACTAGTCGTACGTTTTGCTGAGGTGACATGTGATTGATTGATGAATCGAAACGTCTCTGGCTAATAATGCTGCCACATCGACCGATGCATATCCTTACAGTGCATCGACAGTGCCGATGTTGGGTGGCGCACGTAATTACAAACTCTCTCTTTTGCGTGCATGCACCACCACGTGACATAAACTCGTGTTTGTTGTACAGTAAGAAACAAAACAAAGCGTGTAAGCAAAGAAACCCCGGTTCTAGATCAGCGTTCCACGGAAGAGAAGAGCAACACCGCATGCATCTACCGTGGCAACGCGTGAATCAATATCAAAAAGAAGAAGTTGCATCTACTGTACACATGTATAAGTGTCTGCGTCTATATGATTCTGTTAAGAAACAACAACAAAGAGGAGGAGGAAGAAGAAGAAGTGCGTGAGTGAGTGCGTGCATGCAGGCCTGCGAAACCAGCGGGCAACGAAACCGATGGGCCGGCGCCTTGACGATCGGAGAAGATCCACCAAATTAAGGATCACGCCGTGAGGCGCAAGCAGGTTAATAAACCGCCATGCACGCACGCAGGAACAAGACAAAGGCGGTGCGCATCTTTTTTCATAATTCCCTTGGCTATACTTGGCAAGCCAACTGGGCGACGCAAGCCCAGCCAGGCGGCTCGAACGAACGAACGTAATAAAAAAGAAAAAAATGAAAAAAAATGCGTGAGAAGCGGTGGCTCGAGATCGATCGGACGGAGTAGTGAGTGCGGGTTTCTCGCCCCGGGCGCGACGTGAGGAATCGGCAACGTACGCCGGGCGGACGCGGCGCGCGCCGCATCACGGTTCCTTCTCTCTCCCTCTCTCTCTCTCACACACCACCAGCCAGGGCCAGGCCGAACAAATCCTGCGGTCCAGCTCGCAGATTCCCCCTCGCCGTCTATATATGCGCGCACCTTCCTTCCAGATCCCCCACCACATTCCTATCCTCCTCCTCCTCTTCCTCCTCCAACCAGACTTCTTCGGCCTCCCAGCGCTACCAGCTTCCTTCCTTCCTTCCTTCCTCGAGAAAGATTTCGATCGGGAACGGTGGCGTGTTCACTTGTTGTCCGCGTGCGCGCGTTCCCGTTTGCGTTTGCATGGGGCTGGACGTCGGCGAGATCGGGATGCCCCTCGACCTGGGCCTCGACCTCAAGCTCTTCGTCGCCAAGACCGCCGGCCGGCTCGCGAAGGAGGCGCCCGCCGTCGACGCCTGCATCCGCGGCCTCGAGGAGGAGCGCCGCAAGATCGAGGTCTTCCGCCGCGAGCTGCCGCTCTGCGCCCGCCTCCTCGCCGACGGTCAGTCGCCCACCCGTCCCACCTAATGGATTTTTTCTTCTTGTTTTTCTGATTGTTTGTTTGTTTGGATTTTGTCTGACGCCTTGTGCGGTTGCGCCTTGTGCAGTGATCGAATTCATGAAGGAGGAGGCGGCCAAGAGGAGCGAGCGCCGCGACGCCGACGACAACGACAAGCGGAAATGGATGAGCACGGCGCAGCTCTGGGTCGACACCCGCGCCACCGACGCCGCCGATCCCGTCGTACGTCTTCACTCCTTTCCGTTTCTATTTGTTTACTTTCGTTCTGGTCTGATCTTTATTATCTGCATAAGTTGTTGCTATACGATACGATTTTTTGTAAAGAAATCCGATCCTGACCGAAACGAATCAATTTCTTCGGTTTCAGAAGGAGCAGAAGAAGGAGAGCTCGCTGTCCAAGCCGATGCTGCTCGGCGGTGCCATCGGTGCGCCGATGGCAGTCAGCTGCCGTGCAATGCCGCCGCCGGCGGCTCCCCAGTATTTCGGCAGGGACGACAAGATTGTTGGCTCACAAGGCCTGCTTGCTCTGCCCATGATTTCTCCGGCTGCGAACAGGCAGTTTTCTCCCCCTGCCGACGACCGTCATCAGGCCTTCGCCGCAAAATTTGCTGCCCCCATGCCACCTCCGGGGCCTGGCTTGCAGACTCATGACCAGCAGTCGAGGAAGACAAGGCGTTGCTGGTCGCCGGAGCTTCACCGGCACTTTGTTGCCGCCTTGCACCAACTCGGTGGCCCTCAAGGTACTTGAGCGATAATTTAATCATATGTTAGCTTTAGGTTCTAGTTGGAACATTCAGAAAAAAATATTGGAGTCCTTACAGAATTGTTCCATGATGATTGCAGTTGCTACTCCAAAGCAAATCAGGGAGGTGATGAAAGTTGATGGCCTCACCAACGATGAAGTGAAAAGCCACCTCCAGGTTAGCAACAGTTTTATCCCTTTTTGTGGAAATTTTCGTGAACAATCATCTTTTTGAAATGCTATCTTATAGTACATCTTATGTTGAGACTGATTTGTACCATATTGATGTTCAGAAATACCGTCTGCACAACCAGAGGTCCCCGAGCTCTTCTTCAGCCAGCCATCCGATTATGCTGGTGGGAGATCTCTGGGCTCATCAGGAGCAAAGCAGCTCGCAGTCCCGGTCCCCTGAAGGCCCCCTTCAGCTCTCTGTTTCAGGGGTGGCCGTCTCGGCACTCACCGTCAGCGACAGTTCCGAGGAAGATGACAGGTCGGTAGGCTATAGCCGGAGGTGATATCAAGGCTTTGGGACTACCGTCGAAGATTTTCATGAGAGAGAGGTAGAGATAGCTTTGCGGCATGGATGGCAATAACGGCATGCACTCTCGATCCAGAGGGTGTGGTGCAGGCCATGGATCCAGGGATATTGGGCGTTCGATCCAACGCCCAAAAAATGAACTGATCATGGCCTTGTTCTTGTGATGTACATGAGGCTTTGTTTCGCGAGCGTTTCGGGCAGACCACCAATTTTCGCCCCGAGAAATACTTACATACATATATAAATGAGATTCGAATATTGTTCAGTTGTTGCTGTGTTGAGAACTTGAGATGAATAAAGGTGCTACAGTTTTTGCTACTCGGTTCTTGCTTGCATATGAATGTTCAGCGTCAACCTTGTACCTGATCAACTGCCCTTTCCTGACCAGGAGTTGGTTCTGAACTTCTCACATGTTTCTGAAATTTCATCAGCAACAGCATCGCAGCAAAGCCGAGGTTCTCTGAACCAAAGGAACTCGAGGACAAGAGCGCCATGGTTGCTCTCTCCGTTTTCTCCTTCGCACGCATGGCGACCTCGACTGAACCGCGGCATTCTTTTCTGCAACTGGTGCGCGCTCGCCTAACCCTTTCGGGGCTGTCCAGGCGACAGACAAAACCAAATCTTCAGGGAGAATTGAAGGAAGGAAAGAAGCAAACCGGGGCACGTTCCGGAATCCTGACCATGAGCTGGGACGCCCGCGCTGCACTGATCCCTGATAAGCTGCACGTCGCTGTCCCCTGCATGCCCTAATCGCCATTGTTATCATCCCTGTCGTGGGTCAACAACTATTATACATTAATAATAACTGCTGGTATCACATCTCTTGGCTGTCTGTCTGTGCTTATCCACAGCCTAATATAATGCAGTATTGATCCGCACGCCGGCTGCTCGATCGCTCTGACGAGCATGTGCCCGATTAGACGGACTGGCGCGGTTCGGTGTGGGATTATCCCCGCATAATTTATGTGATCGGCGGCAATTATAAAACCAGTTCGGGATTATTCTGATGCGGGTCGCTTTGGTCGCAAGGGGCGCTTTCCTCTTCCCTCTTCTTCTTGGCACGCATGGGGAATATCCTCCTTGCTGTTGCTTGCAGCGTCTCCGTCGTCGTCTGCTCGTCTCCATCCGTCCCGCGCGTCCCTTTCGCTGCGGGATGGGGTGTTTTTGGCCCTTGGGGCCGCGATGAGCTTGTTTTTGGAAGGGAATCGTCGGTTTTGGCGTCGTTGGTCAGCTGTTGGTGATCCCGTCGTGAGCGCATAGGGACCTGGCTGGATGAATATCCTCGATCCTTCTTCGTTCGCGAAAAAAGGAATATTCCCATCTTTGTTTTCATTTTTTTTCTGCTGGCTGGCACTCTGTTTTTTTCTTTTCAGGCTATTTGTGTAGCCAAACTGCTTTGCTACATTCACTGCAGCTGTATCTTGCGAGGCAATCTACTACTCTATTCAGATTACGGTGAAGTTTTTGTGGAACAAACTCCTGACCCTCTTTGAGGGTTTTGATCTCCAATGCAAGATGATCGTGTGGAGAACGGACAAGTGACTCCTCTCTTAAGATAGACTAGTAAAAGTGTCCGTGCGTTCCAACGGGAGCATACATATTTTATATCTATCAACATGCATCATGTAAAACATATACCTTCGAGGTCCTTATGCATGCCAAGCGATATTGTTCCTTCCTTTTGTTATTGATGGCTAGTATAAATGCCCGTGTTTTGCAACGTGCGTAGAATTTACTCCCTCCGTTTCAATTTACAAGTCTTGCGCGCATACCTAGGTCATCAATTTTATCACCCTAATATAAACTATATAACACAAAAATTATACCTTTTAAAAATAGAACATCTCAAGTTTATATTGTTATATTTTTTGTAACATATGACTTGTATTAGGTTGGTCAAATTGACAACCTAGGGATACGCGCACACCCTGTAAACCGAGAGAGAGGGAGTAGTAAACCTGCTCCATGTGTCCTTACGCACCACTTATTTTATTCAAATATGATAATTAATGTTACATTTATTCAAATCTGATAATTAATGTTGCATTGATTATTGCATTTTGGTCGTTAAGAAGCCACCTTAGCGTTCTTCGTCTACTTGAAGAGTAATAGTGGAGTTGTGGATCATCACTCATAGCTTTTTTCTCCTTCTATTTGATTATATATAGGAGGTTGGTGGAATCTAGATAAGTAGATGGGTGAGAGTAACTGAATAATCTCTCACTGAGCATGATGTAGGATTACGGCGGTTGGTGTATATTGTATGGTGAAATTCATTCTCCGTGATAGATGGTTTGAGCTCTTCTTCGTCTGAATGGGTTTTTCCTCACTGATGCAATCTTGATGGTGCGAGATTATGTACACCAGCGATGATATCCATGGTGAGATCTCTGGATGGATTTTTCCTGGTTGATGTAGTCTTGATGACGCAAGCTTATGTTCCGGTGAGCTTCGATGCGTTAGCGATGATACCGGTGATGAGGTCCCGTAACCAATAATGTAAACAGAAAAGTAGATCACATAAGACCTCATCAACTCTAGAGTCAATTATGAATTGTATTTTAATTGGCATGGACAAAACATATTACACATCTATTTCTTACATGGATGAAAAAGAAAGTAAAAAATGGCCTCACCAATTAGTACAACATGCAACTAAAGAAAAAATGTACACCATTTTTCTTTTTGAGCAACAACAAAAAAACAGTATGCATATGTATAATGTTTAGTTTTTGAAGGGAAAGAAGCTGGGCTATGTATTATATGACATCGATCCATTAAGGCTGGCTGGCTGGGCCTGGCCCTTTCCATCGCACGTAGCCACGTACTACTCAGAGGCTTGTTCGTGTGGAGGGAGCGCCACGTACAACCATAACGTGTACATAGCTTTGTTGCTATGTCGGAGTACAATAGCTTAGTTTCTTGTTGCATGCTAAGTAGCATCGTGCTGTTAATCGCAGAATTGTGTCATTCTTGTTTTGCTTGTCATTTACAAACCGTGCATCCGTTTCCGGTGATCCTTACATCGATTTCGACCGAAATCACCTCAGCTTTCCAGCGGCATACTTGGTTTGCCAAGTTGATGCCTTGATATTTCTTTTCCTTCCGGAGCACGCATATGCATTACATATCACATCTCGCATATCATGCCATGTATTGCATCATGTTGCTTGTGCATTGCACCGTGATTGATTGTGGTTCCATTGCTTGTGTTCTTGCTTTGGGTAGAGCCGGGAGACGAGTACGTGAACGAGGAACATGTTGAGTACGCTAACGAGGATCAAGCTTTCGACAACTCTGAGAACATTGCAGGCAAGAACCATACCCTCGATATCACTTCTATCTTTGCTTTGCTAGTTGTTCGCTCTATCGCTATGTCTGCGCTACCTACCACTTGTTTATCATGCCTCCCATATTGTCATGTCAAGCCTCTAACCATCCTTTCCTAGCAAACCGTTGTTTGCCTATGTTACCGCTTTTGCTCAACCCTTCTTATAGCGTTGATAGTTGCAGGTGAAGATGAAGTTTGTTCCTTGTTGGAACATGGATATTTTGGGATATCACAATATCTCTTATTTAATTAATGCACCTATATACTTGGTAAAGGGTGGAAGGCTCGGCCTTATTCTTGGTGTTTTGTTCCACTCTTGCCGCCCTAGTTTCCGTCATACCGGTGTTATGTTCCTTGATTTTGCGTTCCTTACGCAGTTGGGTGATTATGGAAATCCCTTGACAGTTCGCTTTGAATAAAACTCCTCCAGTAAGGCCCAACCTTGGTTTTACCATTTGCCACCTAAGCCTTTTTTTCCTTGGGTTTTCGCGAGCCCGAGGGTCATCTTTATTTTAACCCCCGGGCCAGTGCTCCTCCGAGTGCTGGTCCAACCTAGGCGAAATCCGGCGCCCCCTGGGCAACCAGGGTCTATGCCAACCCGACGTCTGGCCCATCCGGTGTGCCCTGAGAACGAGATACGTGCGACTCTTATCGGGATTTGTCGGCACATCGGGCGGCTTTGCTGGTCTTGTTTTGCCATTGTCGAAATGTCTTGTAACCGAGATTCCGAGACTGATCGGGTCTTTCCGGGAGAAGGAATATCCTTCGTTGATCGTGAGAGCTTGTGATGGGCTAAGTTGGGACACCCCTGCAGGGTATAAACTTTTGAAAGCCGTGCCCGCGGTTATGTGGCAGATGGGAATTTGTTAATGTCCAGTTGTAGAGAACTTGACACTTGACTTAATTAAAATGCATCAACCGCGTGTGTAGCCGTGATGGTCTCTTTTCGGCGGAGTCCGGGAAGTGAACACGGTTTGGATTATGTATGAACGTAAGTAGTTTCAGGATCACTTCTTGATCACTTCTAGCTTCTCGACTGATGTGTGGTTTCTCTTCTCACTAACATAGTTTCCCCTCTCCGGTTCTCACTACGGTATTTTAGGGTTCCCACGTGGACGCAACCACACTAAGGGTTTTCTGTTACTCCCCTATGGATTGCAATGTTCGGTAATAGAGGATAGTATTGTCACCTCTTTACCCCTACATCATAACCTTTACAATGATGGTAATATGCTCCATGGGTTGAGTGGGGCCCCTTCACAACATTCATGAAGGCTATTAAGTCAAACATTCAACAGAGAATCTCGTATCCTTATAAGATTTCAACACTATACATACTAGGGTTCATCCATATCCATGAGAACTAAGGGGACTATTTACAAATGGAGATATCAGGCATCAAATGAATAATGGTGATACACATGGATGATAAATCAGAGTAATACACGTACGGATCCACTAGGCTCCAGTATTACAACGAGTTGAGAGGGGATGGTGGTGAAGATGATGATGGAGATGGAAACTGCCGGCGTCTCCGTGCACGAGGTGATGGCGATGGCGGAGTCCTACTTGTCGATTCGCCCTCTAGAGGCTAGGGCTCTGTGTTCTGGAATGGTTTCTAGTGGCTATGGGTATCTGATTCATGA